TTCTTCTAAAGGCAATGGAGAAGGTCATCGGCCATGAAATCAGGAACAATATTCTTAAACAGGTGCTTTTACACCCTGCCCAACATACCTACAGAGTGGGCAGATCTACAGATACTGCGCTGTACGCAGGTAAGGATAGTGACAGATTTTCTAACGGCAAAGCGGTTATCGGCTGAGCGGTTAGCGGCTTAAAATTAAAACATATAAAATACTATTGAAGTGGCCAGGAAATGAGCGGCATTTCTGAGCGGCTGAGCGGAATTTCTGTATGGCGCCGCTCAGCCGCTCATTGCGTGGTCTCGGCCTAAGAAGTCACCTGCTCAAGCTTGGGATATGGTCGCACGACCTATGTGGTTTCTGCGACGTGACTGAGGAGCCTCCTTTGCACCTGCTTCGCGAACGCGAGGTGGTTGCGAGAAGTCGGCAGAGGCCACTCTGGCCAAATGAAGAAATTATACAATCGCTAACCCCTGGAGATATCCTAAAATTTGGGGGTTCTCTACGATAATATGATGTACTGTAAATAACTGAGGGCATAATAGATATCTTGGTCGCATTGTATGCCTCTATTTCAGTCTATCTATCTATCTATCTAGGTACCATGGGCAATAAGAAATGACTCGCTGAGCCTCAGAAAGCATGACGAAGAACTTTAGCGACATGGTTGTCGGTTTTGCGTAGTTAGTTCGGAAGACACACTGAAGACTGGGTTTAGAGCAAGCGACATCTTTCTTATATTCGGTTTCGAACTGGGTACCACTACTGGACTCCACTACCAGAGCTACCACGGCTCATACAACCATGCACCTATCTGACGGGTACGCCTGCGGAGTCTTCAAAATATTGGTTTCCATGTGCCTATCTGAAGCCTTTTTTGTGGATGCCTTCAGAAGGCCCTGAAAAATGTTGGGACCAGTTTCCGAATTAATCACTACACCGGGCTGTGGACGATTCCCGCTGTCAATCTAAGTACTCCTGTTATCACACTACCACTAAAGACTCCAGCAGTAGTCGGTGCCGACACTCTCACCACCCTAGTGTGACCGTGCGCATCACCTGGTTTTGAAGCTCGATTTGACTGCATAATCTACCTAAAAATTAGTTGACTTTTCTATTCTGATATCTACAACTACGAAGGCGGTTATACCAACCGCAACCACCTCAGGAATTGAATAGCGACGAGATTCGGAACGTATTCCGCGGTTACTCAGGGTTTTAATAATACGGAGATCGACAAGTCTAAATCATTCAATTAAAATAGAAATCCGAATAAAATCAATACCATTCAGGTTAGGAGGGAAATATGTAGCTTGTGGTTACAAATTAAACAAAGGCTATTGGTTATATCTTAATATCTGAGAGGTCGTTCTTACCTGCTACTTCTTCGTTTTCGATATGAACAATCCAACTATCATCCTCTGAAATTGGTGCATCCTTTAGATCTTCGGCTACCTCAGGCGTTGCTACTCTACTCAACTCAATTGAAGGTACCGAACTTGAGATAGATGTAGTTTGATTGGTTGCGCCCTCCTCCGTAATACTTCTAAATATGGATACAAAAAGTCACATTTCCCTAGGAACAATTAGTCACACCATAAGTTTACCTTATGGAATTTGTACCGCTAACGGGTCGCGCTTTGCGATGTGCAGCTGAACGACGCATCGACATGCGACGCAAAAACTGTTGAAAACTGTTACCTACTCCGCTATCGGCATCCATATTTCCTTTCATTTGCTGCTGTTGTGTGCTATGTACCAAACAGCCAGGCGAAGATTTGTTACGCGCTACTTTCTGATGACCCTTACTTGCCAGAACCCCATCAACGGCGCCATTGCCAGTGCTTTGTGGCTGCCATGACTGCGTACGCGTTGGCAATGGTTCGCCCCCTATATCGACGCCAGTATCCACTGACAACATACTATTGCCGCTCATGTAACTGGGTGCACTGCTGCCGAAGCTGTTAGTGAATAGACTGCGTCGCAGCTCAGCTGAAACTGTGGTTGATGCGCTGACGCCGCTCAGCCGACTGCTGCCGGTGGAGATGAGTGAAATGGGGCGTTGTGGGTCTTGTTGAGAGTTTCGCCGGTAGCGTTGAGAACGTCGACGTCGCCTCAAAATCACATCCTCCATTTGACATTCATCGATAGGCAGTGGAGCATCATAGAAGAGGTGGCGCGACCCATACAGGCTAGAGCGCTGACGACTGAGCGGCGTACGACCACCGATGGTGCTGAGCGACGAGCCGGAACCGGCGGAGTGTATGCTGCCAATGCGGTTTATGTACGTGCTACCGCTGCGACAACGACTTATCGATGGAAGGGACTGGAAAAGGATTTTTTGGTTTATTTTAAATCTGACAAAACGATTTGCATTATAATCAGTTTTTTTATTTTTTTATAAAACGCGTTCGGTGCTATTCTTAGTTTTTTAAAGGTATTTAATAATTTTTCCATCTCACTTTTACTAATATACTATAAAGTATGTACGCGTATAATTCATATTTAGCTGATAAAAACTTTATATCCCAACATTTTAAGGATGTAAAATTTTATCTTTTCTAAGAGAATTAAGAATTATTTATTATTTTCTTATTTATTTTATTTTTTTATTTTTTCCTGTGTAATTTATATCCTGTATAATTTCTAATGTATTCTATGCAAACAAAGATTTTTTTTTGAATTTTTATTCAAAATAGATTGGGGAAAAATAATCTTTTTGAACTAAGTTCTTGTTTTTTATTTGTTTACTAAGTGATATATTAATTTTGGTAAATATTTTTTATAAATTTTAAAGATCTAAAATCTAAATTTTTTATATACTTTTGTATATGCATACATACATAATTTGATATTTAAGTTTCCTCTGAAATTCAAACATATCTTTCAGCAATTGAAAGAAATTTAAAGAGATGAGACATTAATAATTTAAATATGACTTTTTTCATTTTTATTCAAAACCACTTTTTTCACATATTTTGACCTTTTTTCTTAGGCGCGCAAAAGTAGAAATATCAGACCATGCCTTCATGTACATACTTCCATATCGTTTAAACGCCTTAGATAACGAGCTTGTGAGGTCAAATCAGGTTACAGTTGCGGGGAATACAAGTCTACCGTCTCAACCTCTTCAAGGCAGGATGGGCAAAAGGAGTTGTCATGTACGCCTATCACAATCGGATGTTTGTGCCACGTAAAATGACCAGTCAGCAGTCCAACAAGTTGTAAGAGCCATCAGGCCTCTTGGGGGAACACCTAGCTTTGTGGTTAGGTCCTTTTTCAGAACTTTTACCAGTATTGTCGTTTGACCCAAGGTTTCAATCCTGCTGCAGTATTCTTTAAAAGCTGTGCTCTTCGAAGAGCGAATAAGCCTCTTATACTCTCTTTGCGTAATTGACCTTACTTTCTTTTCATTTCAGAGCTACGCAGTTCTTTGAAATGAGAATTTTTACTATGCCAAATGTTTGTTTAAATGTATATTTTTTTTTTATTGAAAAAACAAAAAATATAATTGTTTAAGATATCGTTTTTTAAGTTTTTTATGTTTTTAAATATTAACTGGTTTGAATTTAACAATTTTCTTAGTTAAACTGAAGCCACAAACAGTTCCTTGACTAAATTAAAAAAAAAAATTTCCGCTCTCAAAATTTCTTCTTTCAATAGTTGTTTTTCCGATCTTTTCTCTTGAATAATTAAAGCAAATTAGTTTTAAAACTAATTTCTAATTCTATTTCAAAATAAATAGCAAACAAACAAAAATATTAGGCTAACTTCAAAGCACAGCACAGCACTCAACTACAAAATAATTACTACTTGTAACAATGACTGCGTACAATCACATCAACTCACCACAGGCATCAAATCTTCTTCTTCATCTTCATTGTCCTCGTCATTGCTATCGTCATCGCCGTTGCCGTTGCCGTCGCCGTCATCGTCATCGTCATCGTCTTCATCCTCCACAGTCTCAACTTCTTCAAACTCAGCCACGTTGTCCATAACAACCGCAGCAGTAGTCATGTCGTCAGCTTTGTCAGCAATCGCTGCCAGACCAACTTCACGGCCAGTTATCGCTACAACTGCATCGCCAGCGGAAGCCATATCGCCTCCAACGCCTTCATTCATATCCAAAACAATTTTCGCGCAACTCTGTACGAGCGTTATTTATTTTGCTTTCGCCTTTATTTTTGTTGCCACAACTTTGCTGGACTTTGTGCGCTGCAGGCCTAATTTCGCAACATTCTGGTATAATTTCCAACGTTCACGCGCTGTTCTCCCTGCAGCAGCCACGTTGCTACGCCAGAAATTATGCAAAGAAAACAATAAGTGTAATGAAGCTGATGTTGACGACGATGAAAAATTCAGCATCATCATCCTCGACAAAAATTCACTTTGCGCAAAAGTTACAAAACGTGAATTTGGAAGTGATGAAAGAAAGTTTTGAAATATTTATGCATACATGCGTATACATGCATAAACATGCATAAACATACATACATATCTAAGCGTTGGTCATTAGATCCATATTTTAAAACTTCAGCAGCATTACAAATTTCCAATAAAGCAATTTAAATAGTTTGAATTTGATATCATTGACTTTTATAGTCGGTACTTTAGGTATTTTAGAAAATGTAATCATAACACAGATCATTTTCAAATTGTAATATATGCCCTGCATGCACAATGTAGTACTTGCTTACCTCTCTTCATCCTCTGCCTGCTGATTGACTTTGGCAATTACTGTTTGCCATTTGGCAACGATATGCGGATATTTCAATTCGATTTCCTTGTAATCGCCTGTGGCCTGCAGCTGACCGTTTTTCATGACAATTAACTGTGAATTGTTGGTGAGTTAGATATTGATGACAGCAAAGAATGCACAGAAAAGACAGTATTAAAAAGAAAATTACAGATATTTTTTGTATCTAGCTTGAATAAGTTAAAAATGAAAAAGTAATTTTTAAGCAAAAAAACAAAAACGATATCAATTCTCATAAAAAATTTAAGATTATCGTTAATTTCTTCACGATCCAATAATCGGATTTAAAACAAATTAGTATAGGACCACTTGTGAGGTAACAAATTTCCTTTAAAACAAAGAAAATCGGTAACATATGTACATAAAGAAAGAAATATTCCGACGAATGGATAACCTTTCTCCTTTTTATGAAGTCGGTTAAAAATATATAACTACATACATATATGTACATATATAAATACAGGGTATCTTAGACCACCCACTCGAAAATAGAGGGAAATGTTTTTTATTGAAAAACGCAAAAGTATGAACTACCAAGTCGAGGATGTTCTAACTTTTGTGGGTATTACCGACTTCCGTTTTCGACGTCTGGTTTCGACCGGAAGTAGGTTAAACTAACCGGAGGTTAAATTTTTTTCAATCGAATGTACATGTTTTTACCACAGTTTCGGATTATGGGCATAAAAATACGTAACATTTGTTGAAAACTTTTTTTATAAATGGACTTCTGGTTGAATCCATTGTTTTAACCAGAAATCCATTTCTGTTTTACCCAGTTTCGGTCTAAACCAGAAGTCGTTAAAACGACCAAAATATAGAGCATCCTATAATTAGTAATGCATGTTTTTTTCGTTTTCCAATAAAAACATTTTCACTCCTTTCAGACGTTTAGGATGAGTTGAAGTTCGGATAAAGGCACCTCCGAGAAAAAAATTTCAAACAAAAAATACGTATTTGTATGCTCAGAATCCGAATCTGTAGTAAAAACTTGTATGCCTAATTTGAAAAAATGTAGTTCCAGTGAGTTTAACCCACTTCCGGCCGAAACAGGATGTCGGTAATACTACCAAAAGATAGAGCATCCCTGATTTGGTAGGTCATATTCTTGCGTTTTTTACTAAAAAAAAAAAACGTTCCCCCATCATTTTAGAGAGGGTACCACCCGGACACCCTGCAGGGCGGCTCTCTGACCACTTTAGCGTTTTTCAGACCGAGTTAGCAGCTATAAGGGAGGCTTGCCTAACGTGGTATGGGTACTCGGGCACAGTGGAATACCGGAAAACTACGCGCCAGAGAGCAGGCGTCGTTGGGCTAAAGAACCATCATGTTCCGTTATACGAAAAGTTCCAAAACTCTTATACAAATCGGCCACCCCATTATTAGCATGGTTGTCGATATAATTGCAGGACACTGCCAAATGGCCTAACGATTTCTGTCGTATGCCTGCAGGGACGACGAGGTGGTGGAGAGTATAAAACACTATCTCCGCCACTGTTCCGCTCTGGCAAGGTAAAGACTTGCTATTTTTAATGAACATGATTTTCGGTGTTTAGCTGACGTCGACTCTGTGGACGTCCACGACCTTCAACGATGTGCTAAGGTTATACGATAGTTCTATCATATGGGAAACTAAGGGAAAGAAACAGGAGCTCGTATATAGTGACATCACAATGGTCAAAATGGCCCAAGTAATACAGTCTTCGCGGAATGGCAACCACCGTAACCTAACCTAACCTAGATGTTGTTCTGTTGACATATTCTTGCTTTGTAGTTTGTTGCTGTTTCCCGAGCGCTACATTTAGAATCTGTAAGTGATTTGCGGTCAGTATTTTTGTATCATCTTTCTACCAGTTCGTGAATAAAATAGACGTTGACATCGAGGCAGAGATTTGTATATTTCGCGCAGTGAAGGACCTTTCAAAAATCTTGGGATATCTGGAGCAGTCGTCAGTCCCTGAGGCAGCGAGAGTTTTTTATTATCCTTGGCTTAGCATTCTAGCTCTGAGTTAAACTGTAGAATTTCTGTCGCACAAGTAGCGACATTTCGTGCTCATATTCAGGGCGGTGCGATTAACAACATACTTATCGATCTCGTCGTCTTTATATTTATTGACGTCGATTCTACTTATTGTGTACTGCGATACACGTAATTTTTCAGTGGCATTTACGCCTGGTTTTTATTGATATTTTTTTCGAAATTTTTATTGGCATTCATCAACATGCTTATTGATGATGCACATATATATTAGTTACAGTATCCTTTATATCCGTATTCGACTTCCGACAGACCACAACAACAAACAACAGACGAACTGGCCGTCGCACGCTTTTCCAGCTTAATAATATTTAACATTGATAACTTTTTTATAAGTCTACAGCGGTCTACTTTAATTAACAAATATATGTACTTGTCACATATAGGGTTCTAGTAAAGATATAATAAGGCGCAGGCTAGGTTTCTATTCATATCTTCACAAATCATAACACTCACAACTCAAATTTTAATATTAATTCCAACTCAATTGCTTTGTCCTTTCACAATTTGTCTAATCCAATCAGACCTTAATTTTAGTTTGTTTTTTCTTCCATCTTGCCAAATTAGTTCCCTCCTTTTATACGCTAAAAACTGTCGTTCTTTTTTATTGACTCACTCCACTACTTACATAATCCGCATGCTGTGTCAGTTGCAACTGTTGTGTCACCAATATAACGGTACGTTTCGCCTTTAGCAACATACGTTGTATGCTCTGCTCAAAAATATGACGTGCCACTTCATTGTCCAGCGATGAGAAAGGATCATCCTTTGAGCGGCAGTATGAAAAAGTACAAATAATAAAAAAGTAAAGAAGAAAGATTAACTTAGAATACTAGTTGAAAATAAAATAAATTTGCGCATAAAAAATGCATATAAAAATATGAAGCGTTGAGCACACATAGAGATACTAGTTACATTGTATCATATTTTGCCTTAGTGCAAGTTAGTTGCCAGTTTAAATATTTTTTTATAACTTGTTGACAATGGCGGTGCTTTTCAATATACATACAAAAAACTTTGGCTGATTGCAAGCACAAAAATTCATCAAGGTCGGTGTGTCAAAAGAGAACTTTAGTTGTAAACTGTATACAAAAGATTAACTTTAGGAAAATGGTTTCCATTTTATGTTACTTCTGCTCTGTCATAACCAAAAATATGTTCAAGGTAATGTCAACATTAATAAACAGGTGCCTGATAATAATTTTAATGCATAGTAATTTTTATAGCTCTGACTGTTAAACTGATCGGTGAAAAATAATAGCTTTGTTTTTCAATCAGAACAGGCAGCTTTGAGGACATTTTTTTATACAATGTTGGTTAATCTGGCTCGCTATTTGCCACGCATAGTGCATATTTATGTAGTACATCATTTAAAATTCGAAACTTAAGCAGAATCAGAGAAGGCAATGTATAGGATATCAACGCTTTTAGAGATCTTACGCGGTGCTTAGACTCACGACTCCATAGTGACGTTCTCCAAGTTCTCAAACTGAGGAAACCCCAAGTTCCCATAGCACCAAAACGGCTGGTGCCTGATGCCATCTATCCATAGCCACAGCTTTATGAAATTTAATCATACAAATAAAGGGGACAGCGTCTTGCCGACTAAATAAATTTCCTCGTATATCATTTCGCAACCTTTTACCTTCTCTTTCTCTAGGAAGAAATGCGTTTCCATCTGGATAACTGCTCATTGTCGGCACAAAAGCCATTCAACATCGATTGATCGAGCTCGAGTAAGGCTTCAGTGACCCACTAAAATATATATACATATGTATGTACATAATTTAGTCAAACTTATGCCAGTGTTGCCAGATTTTATTTTCAAAAAAACTGTAACTTTCAAAAACGGAAGAATTTTTGGAATGTTAAAGTTTTTTAACCGTATGATTGGAATACAGCTGAGCTCTTTTATCCAAAAGAGGAAACCCTGCATACGGTGGATTTTTTACTAAAAAATTTACTTCCAAAAAACCAAAAGAGATATTTTAATTTATTTTTTCGAATATTAAATTTTGGACGAAACTGTTATTTTTACCAGGATGTTAATGTAAGCTTGTCTAAAAAACTGTGATTTACAGTTGAAACTGTAAATATTGATAATTGTTTTGTTGTTTTTTTTTGTATTGTACGAACTTCCGAATTTTATTACCAATGAGTTTTTTTCAGAAATTTCGGTGTTTTTTCCGGAAGCTTTCAGGATTTTCGGCACTGTTAGTAATTTTGCGGAGTTTTTGGGCTATGCATACATTTCGGAATTTTCATGACTTTTCCGGCCCTATTGCGAATTCCATGTGAATAAATCGTTCCCATAATTTAACATGCAAAACAAAAGCAAATTGTGAGAAATTGTTTTTGTTTTGCTTTATAATTTTTAGGAATATTTGTTCACTATTTGTTCAATTTTACGATAAGGCCGATCGTGTTTTATTACGGACTTCTTGGGAACTGGATTTTTTGGGAAATTTTCGGGGCCCACCGGTCTTTTGAAAGCTCTTAGGGTTTCCCGAACCCCTTGGAGATTTTTCGGAATTTATTTTTGAGACTTTTCGAGGTTCAAGAAGCTTTCGAGTCTGTAAGAAAATACTCGTAATTTTTCAAGTTTAATTCCATACTTTTCGAGATTTTTTGGAACTTTCGGGATTCTTTTCCATAACTTTTCGGCATTTTTCTATTATTTTTGAAACTTTTCGGGATCTTCAAGACATTTCGCGCATTTTTCCCGGTTGCTTTGATGACTACTGCACATTCTTCTGGATTAATTGAGGGACTATTCTCTTCTTTTGGGAACTTTCACGACAATTTTCCCCGAATTTTATGTGACTCTCGGATCTGTAAAGGAACACTCATTGTTTTCAAGTATAATTTTATACATTTTGAGATTTTTCGGGACTTTGGAGATTTTTTTCAGGACCTCTTTATGCCAAGAAACTTGTCGGGCTTATCCTGCCTTTTCGTGAATTTCCGGGGCTTTGGGCACTGTTACAGGTACTTCTGGATTATTTTAGGGTCTATTTGGAATTTTTATCACTCTTCGTATTTTATACCAAATTTTTCGAGAGTTTCTACGTACTAGCTGTATTATTTTTGCTTGTTTCTCGCCTCGAAGGTGCTTTTGATCTTACTAACCAGATATTTTAAGGCCGAATCCGTTAGTTTCTCTTTGGCATAAGCATATTTTATGTAAGGGGTGAAAGCGCTCCGTAATATAGAAGTATAATAGTCTTTCTAAAGTTTTGAGAGTGAACGAAGTTAGGCAAACAGGTATGTATGATTTAGCCAAGTCAAGCGGCCTCTCACCCGATTTAGCAATAAATAACACGGACAGAGGATTAATGAAGTCCTCGATACTTCTTCGTAGCAGTGCTGAAAAAATCCCATCTCCACCTGCAGCTTCGAAGGGTTCGAAATACTCTACAGCCCGTCGTACCCTGTCAAAGATGGAGCCGGATCTGCTAAGACTTCTCACTTTAGTGAACCTATATTCCGAGGAGATGGAGGTCATCAGATCATGCTCCACAAAAGAGCCTGGGAAATGCACTTAAAGCAGGAGATATCGAGTCCCGCCGCTATCATTCGTAAAGGTGTCATCTTTCCTCCTTAGGAGACCTATACCACTGGAAGGCTCCTTTGGAATTTTATACAAACGAGAAGCCTTATGCAACGTCCCTATTGTTTCGCATTGTCGCCTCCATTTGAAATTATACTGTTATACTTTAAATAGAAGTACTCCATAATTTCCGAATAATCCGGCAGTTTTAACAACAACTGATTTACAAAAGATTACAGACACTACAAAGTCACTTGCAGAAAATCATTGCCTTATTTCACCTCAATCCAGCTTTCATTAAGCGCCATACCAGTAAACAAACCCACAGCGCTCAACAGTGCATTAGCGCCAGCACAACCAAAGCCAAAGCCAAAGCCAACGCCAACGCCAACGCAAAATCACATACACTCCATTTAACCAGACAATCCAATTTAACCCGCTTCCTAGCCGCCTGTGCGCTAAGTGCTACGTTCATAACAAACTGGCTGCCGGCAGCTCTTTCTACTTAACAGTATTTTCTGCGATAATTCTCATTTTTTGTTGTTTCTCTCACTGTACTTTGTTGATGTTGTTGTGGTTTAACATAAACATACCATTATCACCACATTGGCCGACGAGTAAAGTGCACGCGCTATGGCTACACGCTGTCGCTGACCTCCCGACAAATTAATGCCACGCTCACCAATCACCGTAAAATCCGCATCCGGCATCAGTTCAATATCCGGTTTCAGTGCACACGCCTCCAATACGAAATCATAACGCCGTGGACGAAATGATTCACCAAATAAAATATTCTCACGTATATTAGCATTGAGCAGCCAGGGTTGTTGTGGCACAAAAGCAATGGTCGAAGTTCTGGGTGAAAAAAGAAAGACGAAAAATTATGAAAATTAAACGAAAATGAAACAAAGCAAAAAGCTCAAAGAGGCGAAAGTTTAAATGCTTAATACATAGCTGTGTATGTGTGCAGATAATGAAATTTAAAAGCAAAAAAAAAAAGTATTAAAATAAATGGCTAAATGTAAATGCGATTTCATATAAGCCAATTTGGCATTTTCAATTGAATTTCTTTTACTTAAATTTAATTTAATTTTAATTTTCTGGTGTAAGCTCAGTGCCAACTGATGTGGTCTGCTGTACGGTACATATACAGTTGCATTGAAACTGGGTCAGTTGAGGAGGTAAGCGTAGTTAACTTGGTCTTGAATTGCAATGAGACAAAATAGTAGACATTTGCACATACGATTTTATGTAGATATGTATGTGTGTCACATCAATTCACAGGAATATGTCATCTCATATTTAATAATACACGTATGCCTACTATCTACATACATACATATGCACATGCTGACCAGCATTCATCTAAATCTAAGTGAAATACATAGTACCTTCATTGCACTTTGGCTGGCGAGACAATATGGCAAATTTTCATTGTATTCTAAGTCATTTGAATATTATTAGAAACCATTCTATTTGTTCGAGTATGGCTGCTCTGTGCTTACAAATGCTTCTTGGCACGCTCGTCGTATTGTTATGTAAATTTCGTAATAACATGCAATGCTCTAGGAATATGTCTAATGCGAGTAGAGGCATAAGTTTAAACTTAGAAGAATAGAAAATCAGTGCTACATACTCATTCAAATCTTATAGGACAAAGACTAGCAATTGTAAGTAATTGGTGTGGGTAGGGTCCGCCATGGCGTATGAGTAACAAAATATATGTAAATGTACATACATATGTATGTACATACGACTGCCTATAACTAAACGATGAGATTTTTTCAACTTGAAAATTGCAGCTAACATTTTTATGTGTGTTCCTGTAAAATTCTATGCGCATATGTCATTAAATATGCATTGTTTTGAAATGTGTAAGACATCTTGTAGGGGCTTTTAAGTAGAACATGCGTATGTACTAGGATGCTCGGTTATTCGCCTTTTTTTCTAAAACCGGTTTTGGAGTTATTCGTAAAATTGTAAAAAAAAAACACCTATTTTGAAATTAAGAAAGTTTTACGGTTGTACAGTAAAAATGCTTATGCAGGTATGAAGCTATGAACAAAAAATACAACAAAACTATTAACAGTAAAGATGCATAGCTTTTATTTAGAAAAGAGCAATGCAAAAAAACGTTTGTTTTTTTTCAAATCAAAAGCAAAGCTAATAAACATCAGTGAGAAATTCACGTTTGGTCTTATTTTAACTTTTTTTTAATAATTTATTGCATTTTTTCTGACCCCGAGTGCTTAGAGAATTTTCATGATTAAATTTCTAGTACCAGCAATATTAAAAGAGTTTTTTCAAATTCAATCACCCTAGTGTGTACATTAGAGTGGTCAAAACCTTCCAAAATTGTTCCTCTTGCAGAAAGAGGTGCTGGTGCCAAACCTTACGTTTCTACGTATCCATTTAGAGGATGTTCATGACGCTCTCATTTTACTCTAGAAGTATTGTGTACATATATTAAAAAAAAATTAAAACCTCTTAAACAGTTGTATTTGTTTAAACTTATAAAGTTTGAAGGACGAAATTCGACATATTTAGTTTTTCAAAAATAAATATTACAAAATTTCAAGGTTATTTAAGGAGAAAATTTTGAAAGGACATTTTCAATATCTGCTCGTCCTTATTTAATTTGCTTTAATTCTATAGAATTTTCTTTTTAATTTTATAACTATACCCGTTTTCTACGTTGCACTGAATTTTTTTAATTAAATAATTTAATTAACAAATATTTCAAATTTCAAAGTCTTTTAAAACAAAATCATGACATCAGAGAGAAAAACTAAAAGCGCAATTTTACTATATTTGGCCCAGAGTTTTGCGAATATATTGATTTTTTATTTTCTTTTTGAGTATAATTTACTCTCGCACGGTGTTATGAATAGCGTATTTTAGGAACTCTGGCAGCTCTAAATAAAAACAAACCATTCTTATAAAACGACGCACCAGAAACGGCAAAGAAATATTATTCTCTCAAAATTTCTTAAATCAGTATTATGTATCTATACATATGTATATGTATGTATGAAGCATATCGAAACAGTCATAGTAAATTTATGGAAATGTAAATTTTTATAAAAAAATTGCAAACTTTTGTTAAAAATTTTCATACCATGACTTGTATGAGTTGAAAGTAAATTCAAACAGCGTATTTATTATGTTTTAGCAAGAGATACCTCTTACTTCCAGCGAAAAATCTTTTGAATTCTTACTGGTTTATTTAAAGCTACAAATTGCCAGTTATTTACTAAAAAAGTCTCAACTTACAAAAAAATTAGCTTTCATATAAATTACATTACATTCACAAATAAAGTTAACTATGCTCACAATGAATTTTTAGTATGCAATACGCAATAAATTTCCCACTTAAATCAATACACCCCCCCACCACCTAAACACGTCCGTACATGCCAAAGTCACTGCAGCAATGCACTCTTTGCGCATTTTAATTAAAGTTTTCGCACAATTCGTGTATTACGCTGTGAACGAAAGGAGCGCACAAGCTAGTTACTTACGTCTTGTAAGGAAAATTTATATTTCCTACAATTCACCGAAATCGATATACATATGTATGTATGTATGGCGCAGGTAATAAGATATGTAAGTGCTGTTGTGTGCATCAGCATTCATGAGGCATATACATATGTAAATACATACATACATATTTATATATGTATGTATGTTTGTGTGTGTGCTTGTAGTTCTATTTGCTTAATGTATGTATTGAAAAGCGCACAACTTATCGCGAAACCCATTTATTTAGCTGGCAAGCAATAATACGACATTTTTCCTCGAATCTTATTGGCTCTTCGTTGTTCAGCATGTTGAGTTTTTACAAGTTTTACGAAATGCATTGAATGCAAATAAAAAAATTCAAAATCGTAAATTATTGAATTTACGTTAAGAGTTGGTATATACACACATACATATGTACATGTACATGTACAAAAATTTATTTATTTAATATTTATGCATTGAAGATCACATATTTATATCCTCAATCGTGTAGTGTCATACGTTTTGATTGAATTCATTAAGAAAAAAAATATCAATTTGTTATAAGATTGTCAGGCAATTGTTAAGACTCCGTTGCAAATAATATATTTTTAAATTTAACTCGAGTTCAGCCTTGCCAAATACATAGTATATATAGTACGTGTCCCATACAAGCAGAGAAAATATAAAAATTCTTTTGACTAAGTTTATTACATAGCGTTGAAAATCCCTAGAAGCAATTTATTATTGGCTAAAAATATTAGTCTTTGAGACTCAAGTCATAGATCAGCAAATTACGACAATTTTAAAAAGTGCATACAAATTTTTAGTAATATGAAAACAGTACATATATTTTTGGTAATCTAAAAACTAGACAGAAGTTATTAGTCAATTAAAACCAGGTCATACATTTTTGGTCGTCTTAAGGCTAGGTTATTTAAAAATCGAAGATATATTTTTGTTACTTAAAAACGTGGAATATTTTAAAAGTAAAAACCCAGAACATTATTTATGGTAACTTAAAAGTCGGTCTTAACTTATTAATTATTCAAAAACTGATCAAAATTTTTTAGTAATTTTAGAGAATGTAATATTTACTAAGATACATCAACAACTGGATATCAAATTCGGTAGTTTCAAAACTGGACATACACTTTTGGTCGTCTAGACATAACTTTTTGTTTATTTAAAAATCGGACATAAATTTTTGGTTATTTAAAACTCGAAATATTTTGTAAGAAATAAAAAATCTGGATTTTGTTTATGGTTGTTTAAAAGCTGGACATAATTTTTAATCCTTTAAAAACTGAACATAAATTTTAGGAAATGAAAGAAGCTCTTTTGGCATGCATTAAAAGGTGGAGTGGATATAATTCCATATATACCAATATATTGACCGATAGATCCTTAAACCTTTTAAAAAAATCAAACATTGAAGCTTAAAATCTGAACAATTTTATACCGGCTAATTTAGGGTTGTTGATTTCAAAATGTGCAATCAAAAGTATAATATAACGCTTAGTTTTACCATTATTCAGCATCCATAATATTGACAGTGTCGCCGTAGGTGTTTAAAAAAAGGAACTTATCTCAATTATTTCTATTTTTTCTAGCACGAAATATATGTAAATATTTCAAAGCGATTAATAATACTTAAATTTTTTCAAAATTTAGATTACACTGCCTTTTATCGATTTTTGAAACACTTTTCACTTTTATGAAAAAAAAACACGGCCAACCGCATCCAGAAAATTCAATCATAGAAATGTGATAAAAAAAAATATTGATATAATTTGCTCTAAGCAACTGTTGTTTTAACGAAAAGTATAGCTTTAAGCCAAAAGCAGTTTGTCGAATATATTGGACGTTGGTACTGAAAAGTTTAAGTGGACTTATTAATATTAGGTTCCCCAAGTAGATATTTCACACGTTTTCCTAATGATGCCAAACGCAAGCACCGTTACCTAACTTCCTCTCTTTAATGTTATTATCAAATTCAAGCTGACATGGTAAAATCTCGCTTAACCACGCCAAAGGCACTATGACCAAAGTAAAGTTGTACCCTAAAGAAATCGCTTTCATAGTTTTTTTTTCAATTTCATGTAGTGCAAAAATAGTGCTAAAAATATGAAGTTGGCACCACATATGTACGTAATTTTGTACCTACATACATACTTGTATATGCTTGCATGTAACTTACTGAAGCACTTCACTTTGGCGCGCTCGTTACTCATACGCCCTGCTGTACCAAAAAAAATACACACAGTTATCGCATTAAATATTATTGTTATTTTTTAAATCACATTATCCCTACTCGCGCACACACAAACACGCACCTATTTTAACATTCATACACAGATTAACCATACAGTGCAGCCACACCCTTCAAGTTTTACTCTTTTTTTATTTTACCACTGCTTTCGCAGCGATAGTGTTATGAAAACGCAATGAAATGCAGCAGTCATTCATTCAACATATTTGTTCGGCCATTTCCATGCGCAGCACGTCATTGTAATTTATAACAAATGTTTGTATGTTAATTTTATTGCATTGAACATGCAGCAAAGATTTCAGGCACTAAAGATTGCAGCCAGCAGGGTAGTGGGTTGCATGTGAGGAGAGAGGAAAGCTTTCAGGAAGAATGTAAGTGGCAAAACAAAAAAAAAAAATGGAATGAATTTAAGCTATATAAGCGGGTTAGTCAGTAAATTGCTTGAGCAAGTCAGACAGGCTGCCAGACAAACGGCCAGTTTGATTGGTATGCTGTATTTTATGTGCGTAACTGCGAATGTGTGGTGTTTGACTTCAAGCTGTGGCAAAAGCACATAGTAAATGCAATAAGTCCATAAGATGGGAAAAATAAGGAAATCTATGTTTATGGGGCTGCATACAGTATATGTACGGTACCATATTTATGCGAGCCGAATACGGCACCGAAAATAATTTTGCTATTTTTTTTCTTCTTAAATGATCTTAGATGTATGTATGTATTAGCCCTGAAACAGCATCCTTATAGTAACATCACAAATCTGTAGCATATCCTTCTCGAGATTTTTGCTCCGTTAATTTTTGGCTATTTTTTTTTTGTCGACGGTCCTACGCATTTTTTTCATACAAAGTTAGTATGCTCGACAATTTGTTGGTAGGGAAGCAAATGAGCAGCACGTTGCACTTGCACTTTATTATACTCAATTTTAATGAGCCACAAAGCTGCAACCAAATTTTTGTCTAAAGGTTCTGATTATAAAGTTTGAAATTTTGGTGAAAATTTGCAGACTTAATTCTTAATTTAATTAAAAATAATAAACATTAAATAAACAAACAGAAAATAGCCCAAAACTCGCTAAAATGTAGAATCCTAATTTATATTTTGGTCACTGTAAGTATTCCTCGATTCAAATCACAGGCATTCAGATTAGAAAATAATAACTGTTTATGGAGAAAATTAAGAGACAAATACAGAACATTTGGCGTTCCATATAAAAGAAATTAATTGCCAGCACAATTGGTCAAAAAAGAGGACTGTCCCGTAAAATACCTACAGAACGGATGGTCACCGTAAGTATATGTACCTATAAGTATGTGAAATGCGCGGTTACAGCCGCTGTGCGCAATGCTGGAAATGTGCTGGAAGTGCAAATGTGCAACTGCATACTTTCTATATAGATATGTATGTACATACATATGTAGTTATGTGAATAGTAAAAGTGTATTTTTTTTTTATTAGTGAATGATGTGTGTGTACTATAACTGAGGCATAACTCCATTTTTTATGTACACACATATCCTATTTCTGCGTGTATTGGTGTATGTTTGGCATTTGCGTGTATGCAATAATTTCAATTGCTATTATAAATTGCCACATTGGTGAGAATTTATTATTGCCATTTACAAGCACACACATATCCATGCAATTGTGTATTTTTATTGTTTTAATTTTTTAGATTTGGGACATGAATGCTTAAGTAAATATCTGAAGTAAATACATATGTACATACTTTGAGAAAAAGAGAAATTTTTGAAAGCCGATCAAATTAAAATTACAATTAATATAAATTTAATTCGGACGAAACATAAATGAAATTTGCACTCCGAGGCTTTGGTGTAGACCTTATTCACTTTTTCATTGTACATAAACAGTAATTAAACAGTAAGTGGGAATTATGTATACCTTCTAATTCGGCTGCTCTTAGAAGGGGAAAATTTTAACGAAATATTCAGTGATTACGCAATACCAAGCTAGCTTTGCTCCATAAACACTGTTGCAAAAATCTAGCCTCAAAAAGGCTTAACATGGTCACATTGTAAATTATCCCTCTTCTAATGAACTACTCACTTATTCCAGATGATATCGCCCCGCAGCAACGGCATCTCCATCAGCAATGCAGACAACAACGACGTCTTTCCACTGCCATTCTTACCCACCACCATAGTGAGTTTACTACGCGGCACTATCACATTGTGCACGCTCAGCCGTTGCGTCTCGTCGCCGCGTTGCGGATGCCATGAGAAACATGCATCACGTACCGACACCGCCATATCGTCCGGCAACTTCAACACCAACGAATCACGACTCCACGAATCCATATGCTTATGCGCCAGCTGCTGTGCCGGCGTCAGCTGCGCATGCGCCTGCGCTGTGGCGCTGCCGGGAAACTTACGTGGCCGTATCACGACATAGGGGCTATTACGCAGCAAATCGCGTCGCTGCTGACTCATTTTACGACCCATAGCGCTGCCCAGCAATTGTTCTTCGCTATTACGTCGCGGCGTAAGCAAGTTCTTATCAACAGCTGTTGCGTCGGACGCAATCAGTGGCGTTTGCGGTTCTGAATGCGCCAATGGCGCTGGACTCTCCGGTATGTGCAGTTTTAACGTTAGACGTTCGTTTAATTTATTCTCACGCTGCACGCGTTGCTTTTCACTATTCGAACCTAAGCCGCGGCTATCACCGCTGCCGCTTTCACTTAACGCCGCTTCCTTGTTTAATTTGTCTTGCACCTCGTAGTAGTCCAGTGAGGCGTCACTTTTGCTGAGAATGCGTGCCATATGACGTATACCTTCGAATTGTTTGTGTATTTCACGTGCGCTAAGAAAACGTTCAAGTCGACGGGTCGACACGACGGCGGACAAAATTATGGGCACGGTTATGGGGAATATGAGTAGAGGCACTGTGAGCTGTTGGAAAAGAGCCAAAGCGGAGAATAAACGACTGGCGGTGAACTCCATGGCATCGCCTTCGAGCGTGACATATGCGGCTAGCGTGACGTAGCTAATGAGGACGCTGGATATGTGTGTGAGAATGGCTGCGAAAATGGGAAATATTTATAAATAACTAATAACTAATCATTTTTAAACACTTCACTTACTCATTAATGTCCAATAAAAAGAGTCCCAGCATAAATATTTCAATTCCTTTTTGCGCGTCTTATCAATACGATGCACAAACGATTCCGTCCACACATTAAATTTTATAGCTTTTATACCCATTAAGACATCGTGAATCATCCTTAGGCGCTGATCAGCGCATTTCTGAAAGAGACAATAAACGACGATCGTTAGCGTGGTTTTGAATTAAAAACAAAAAAACAAAAAACGCTTTTAATTTTAGTAACTTAAGAAAATTTTCCTATTCCTTGTACTAATCGCAATGGATAACGTTCTTATGAGTAGATAATTGACTTAAGCTCAGCTTCACGATTCTGGGTGAGAAAGAATATAATTTCCAGCGGAAGTAAATGAATAATTCTAACCAAAATTACCAAAAAGTAACATGCGTTTAGAACTTTTCTTAAGTTTATTACAGATTGGCCACTTCATAGGCTCGCATATAGAACTAATACTTGAGCATTCTACATGTAGATACATAATATGTCTTAGAAAAAAGCTTTTGCATTCACCACTCGTGGTGAGAAGCTACTTTGAGAGAAAGTACTTGTGCATCATTTAGCTCGCGTCGCTACAACAGTCTCAAGTCCGTTTTTTAAATTTACTTTTTTTCTTTTTTAATTTAATTTTCTTTTAAATTTTATATTTTTATTTCTTCTAATTTTCGAAAACATATTTTTTTCCTTTTTTAAATATTTTTTTTTTAGTTTAATTTTCTTTTCAAAAATCTTGTTTTAAAAAGAGATTTTTTTTTAATTTCATTCAATTTTAAGAATATTAATTTGTTTATTTCTTCTTTTTTGAATTAATTTGTTTTCTTGCGTTAGTTCAATTTTTGTATTTTATTGTTTTAATAGGAAAAATATATTTGTTTTATTTCATTAAATTTTTATAAACTTATTTAATTTTTTCAGTTCTTTTAATTTTTTAATGTAATTTGTGTTATTTTTTTCTTTTATAAAATTTAGTCTGTTTTTCTTTTGTTAATTTCATTTTTTATATTTTCTTTCCTTTTATTTTAATATTTGGTTTTAAAAATAAGAATATTAATTAATTTTTTTTTTTAATTTTTCAGCACTACTTTTATCTTTTTTGATATCATTTTTTTTTTTCTTTTTTAATTTACCTTTTAAATATTATTACATTTAATTTTGAACTTCATTTAATTTTTAAAAATATTTTTATTTATGTTTGCTTTATTTTCAATTTATTCCTTTTTTATTAAATTTTCCATTATTGAAGAGTTTTGTATTGTTTTATATATTTGTCTATAGTTTAATTGCGTTGACTTGGATTTTAGGTTTATTGAGAATTTAAGCTTAGCGTCCTTACCGCTACTTTTTCCGTATTGAAAGACATTGCGCGACCGATTAGAAATTGCAGTGGAGTCATCGTTAGAATGCATACAAATGAACCAATAATTGCGCTGATGCCCAGTTTAAGGTACAGTAGATACATAACAATGCCGATCTAGAAGAGAGATGAAAAAATATATAAATGAATAGAAATGACAATGAAGAGATAGATATTTTTATCAAAAATCTTAAAAAAAAAATAGTTTTTCTAAAGCAAAATTTTACACCAAAAATATCTTCAAAATTAAAATTTTTGCGAGTGATTTGATATTTTTAAAGTTAAGTTTAAAATTGTTAACTTTCTTATTATGTCATTGCTGTATCATTGAATGCAGCAAATGAAACGAAAAGAAGAAAAACTTTGTTTGTGATGAATATGTTAAGCCTACTATTCTCTAGCACAGTGGAACGTATGAGCAAATCTCACGAGTTGTTACATTTTTTTAACAAAAACGTTTCTTTTAGCAAAAATGGTGTCACACTTATCTTAGAAAATGCATTATCTTCAGTTTTGCATAAAAATCCATCGGGAAATTGTATTTAAAAAAACTTAAAAAAGGTATACTAAAAAAAGTAAAAATAACAACTTGTGCTCATATGCCCGTAGCTGTGTATGTGACGTATACGCCCCGTAGCACCATAAACAATCAGCTAACACGTTTACACGCACGCCTTAACTTAAAAGTCCTATTATTTAAAAGTAATTAAATATTGGCATCATCTTACAATCACAGTTTTGGCAAGAAAAACATTTTCACCGTTTAATGTTGACATTTTGAGTTTCTTAAACTTTTAAAATGAAAAAATCCTTGAATTTCAAATATTATAAAATATCTGAGACAGATCTTCTGTATGCTGTAATTTTTTTTAATTTAGTCGCACACTCTTGAAACGTCACAGATATGCTGTATTTTATGCCAACTTTCATACTAAATACTTCTCAAATTTATTTAAAAAAAAAAAAAAAAAAACAATTATGATTTTTTCGAGTGACAGTCAAAGAATTAGTAATTTCGATACATTTTTGCCTTAGTTAAAAACTGTTCAAATACTTGATTTATTTCTTATTGTACTTGTTTCTGGAACTCCGTCGACACTAAAAAAAAAAAAACAACTCGAGATTTGCTCATATACTCTGGAGGAGAATTAAACAGTGGAGGAAGAGAACAAACGTTTTTTGTATCACAATGAAAAATGCGGTATTTTACTTTCCCCTGGCAAAAGAGGGTTCAAATTTCTATATACACTGAAAACATTTAGGATTATTGGATTCTTAAACACGAATTTACTTAATATTTTAAAATATTGATTTTTTATAATTTTTTTTTATGAAACATATATTTGGGCTCATCATTAAAAAGTACAGCCATAAATCTTCTAAGGGATAGAAATACATGTTTAAAAAAATATGTTTATCGATGTGAAATGGTGTGTAAAAATTATATTTGATTTGAGGTGATGCATTAGGCTTAAGATCTATTTTGTCACAGGATACGTTGCAATCTTTTCTTAATTGGAATTTTAGCTTTCCAATGATACCAAAAAGAGTGTTTTCCAAAATACTAGAAGATTCAGCACTGATTATTGCTTTATTTTTAATTTAATTTATTGTTTCTAAAACTGGTTTCATTCTTATATTTCTTAGCTCAGTTATTAAAGTAATTGACATGCTTTACCAGCTCTAAAATATTTTTTTTTAAACTAACATTTCTTTGGCTGATATGTATGTATAAAGTATTCAAAGCATTTATATTCACTTATTTAAGTGGTTTCAATTTGTATTTAATTTAAATAAAATAAAATAAATAAAACTGTTTTCCATTCACTTTCTTTCAGCCAAGAGTTTTGTTTAAATGTCAATATTTTTCTTTGGCCTGCATGCAAACACACTGGCCATAATAAATATTTTTTGTACATATGTATGTGTGTATGCATGCAAGACTTTCAGGGATTTCAGCGTACGTCAAGCATAACAACTTACGTTTCCATTGCCGTTTTGCCTACACGAATATTATTTCCAACAAATGTAAAAGAAAAACATGCCCAGGCACTTATTTTCATGTGCTTGTAAATAATACTTAAAAGTAAAGAAAAGTCAAAGTATTGAAGCATTGCAATTAAGAAAAATACTCACAGAAAAAAAAAAAGTTAAGTTGATGCATGAAATGAATCAAAGATTTATTCGAGCATTGCAGCATAAATAAATTAAATACGTAGATAAAAGACACACACATATGTACGTAAATATGTGCATTAGGGTTCATCATTCTACACATAAAAAGAGAAGTCGGAGTTATAAAATCTAGCTGAGCTGTGCCAATTTGAAAATACCAAAAAAATCGAGTTTTTCATAAATCAAATTTATTTCAAAAAAATTTTTTTTTCCAAAAAGTCACCTCAGACGATAAAAGAGTTAAAGCTAAGGAGGTCTGGATAAGATTGATCTCAATATTTTTCCGAAATATTTTGGGCGAAAGTCTTGAAACAACGTGCGACAGTAAATTTTACACACAAAAAAATCAATTTATTGGGCCGAATAAAGTAAAACTGTTTTTTAGTTTTTCTTTCTGACGTCAGGATTTTTTAAAAGACTTTGAAGTTTGAAAAATTCGATAACGTCTAAAAATAATTTAAAAAATTTCAGAGAACATTCAATAGAATGAAAAACGGTTAAAATTTTTATTGCATGAGCACGATTAGGTACTGAAAATGTCCTTTTAATATTTATATCCTTGAAATTTTGCAGTAATAATTTTTGAAAATATTATATGTATAAGTGTTGAGTCCACCCCTCGTGAACCAAAAATTTAAAATTTTTTAATATTTACAGAATTTTCTCTTTCAATTGGAACCCATGTAGCTACTCTACATTGCACTCAATTTTTTAAATAATTTTTGAAATTTTTGAAACTACAAAATCCTTAAAAAAACACTGAAGTCAGGGAGAAAACCTAAAACGGCAGTTTTACTATATTTGGCCAACAGTTTCGTGAGTATACTGATTGCTTCAAATTTTTTTTTTTATCGCACGGTGAATTATAAAAAATTCTATAATTCTAGTGAAAAACCGCCACTTTTTAAAGGCGACCTAATGTACATAGATATGCAGCTAAAATGCACAAGCAAATATGTAGACATACGCATGCAGCAGTGGATATAGTTAATTCATATGTATGTATGTATGTGCATAGATACATATAAATCAGGATAAGTTTAAGTAAAAGCAATTTACCAGGCAATAAAATGAAATAAATTTTAAATTGCAATTGCTAGTTTAATTCATTGCCGAAAAGAATTTGCAGCTGCGCTTATATGCGTCAATACTTATAGAAAGACTTGCATACATAGTTATGTATATATTCATACATGTGCATATATGTCTACACATACATATGTATGTATACACACATACCTTTAGTGGTATCGCCCATACGTAGTGCGCTATCCAAAAGAATGACATGACATTCAAAGCATCCTCCGACATCAGATTTGTTATGGCGCCCACATCACTCAAACCTGAAAATAGAGAATTTGAAATAATTGGGTTTTCACTCCCCCTTTCTAAACCATTTTGAATCATTGACGAAACTTCGCAGGCACCTAGGGTTTAAATCTCCCAATTTGTCAAGGTTACTCAAAAAACGAAGGCCCCAGAAAGGTTGAGGTTTAGACTGTTCTGCTTAGCCATCTCTTTCAGAGGTCGGCGGCAGTCCAACACAATATTTGATGTAATTATGAAGGAACTCACAGTACGAAGTTCGTTTACAGTCTCTATTATAACTGAGACCTCAGCCTGGAAAGACCCACAGTAGTCCGGTAGTCGAAATAAACGGTCCGGAAGGAAGCGTTCTTTTTTTCAGAACGCAGGAAATTCTCCCTTTACCGGAGTGCAGCAAGAGATGCCAGCTGCTGACCCACTAGATCTAGTGGCAGAGGATCCAAAAATACATTTAAAGCATCATTTCGTGTTGTCCGGATTGCTCCGCTAATGCAGATCATACTAATCCTGTGTACTTTGCTGAGTATATTAAGATTTGCGGACGTGCTCAAAGCCGACCGCCATACTAAATATAATACCATAAAGGAGAATCGGTCTAACCACCGCTGTGTAGATCCAGCGGCATATACCGCTCGACCCATATTTCTTATCAATGGCCCTCTTGCAGGAATATAAGGCCACAGACTATTTCTCCTTCTTGCTTTATTCGTAAAGTTAAGAGTCACCCGTTCAGTTCAGGTGGAGTGAGTAGCGGTTTTTTTTTATCTTCTCATAAAAAGACCAAATTCCACTTTCTCTGAATCGAGACAAAGGCCACTGCACGTCGACCATCTTGCTACATCGCGAAGTGCCCTCGGCATCAATTCCCACTAGAATTGGCGGGAACTTGCACCTATACTCGATGGCTACGTCATCCACGTAAGCAACAACCTTGTCGCTTCCCCGTTTCGTCTCCCGCAAGAGAGAGTTCACGGTTAGGTTCCAAAAGAGTGGCGTGTGCACGCCACCCTGCGCTATGCTTCTTGCCACATATCTTGAAGCCGAGTTCTCATCGACGTTTACCGTGATCACCCTGCACAGGAGCATTTGCCGTATTTATAAACTCCACCAGAGGATTGTCTACCTATATTGGCCTCAAGGCCTGCCCCTTCTAGGAAAACCCTAAGAAGCAAAGTTGAAATTCTTCACGCTCTTCAGGTTTTTTTATAAGATGATTTTATTTTTCAGCCGGCCAGATTACTGCTATCTTAGTTCGCTACAGGGCATCATTATCAAAGGTAATATGAGCTGTTCGTCTCAACCAAGCATCTCTGATGTCAGAAATTGTCTTTGCATTAGATCATCTCATGGCCTCTTAATGCCTCTAGAACGTGGTTAAGGTACATTCTGATGGCCAAAATCCAGAGTCCTGCTGCCACTGGCCGAGGACGGATTTTCTGCAGTTATAGGGCTGTCATATATGGGCGACCTGCAGTTGGTGTTTGACGACTTCACTAAATTGCCACTCAAACGAGCTGAGTTGCGCCGCCTCACTCCTCTCCACCTCTCCAGAGAAGCATTACCTATCCCTCATATACCTAATTTACACTCCTAATGCTACTCCTCAAACCAGTAAGATAATCTGTATGGAAGACTGGATAGATAGAAGAGATGAAAAACGGTAGGGCCCATGTGAAAGGTCCTTTGCATCTCCATTCGCTTCAGAGAACTTGCTATCTACATATATAAATATGTTATACAGTAAGGTTTTTGTATTATCACCAACCTGCTTACAAAATAGAATTACTTATTAACTTTTTTTCCTACGAAAAAATATCCCCCACTCGTACGCAATTCTCATCAACTTCCTTCAATACTCACCGCCCATATCGTTCTCTGTTACGCCGCCATTGTTCTCACCAGCCACATCTGGTTCAACATTACCCTTGCCACCTGCTTTACCTTCTTCCGCTGCCATAGCAGAATCGACTTCACTCGCATCCGTTTTTTGTCCTTTTGTCCCACCATCGCCTCCATCATCACATCCTTCATCATATCCACCATCGCCAGTGGCAGCTGTTGTTTGTCCAACACTTGAATTGAGCAACAATGTTTTGCGATAGATTAAACCCTGTAGCGATGTCTTTATTCGTATGCCTGTCATATTGAGTATGTGTGTAGAGGCTTGTGAGAATGCGCCCTGCGCCAGTGCGGCCATCAGCACCAGCCAAGCTATAGCCCAACCGTTCGACACTAAATCTAACCAATTCGGATAGTAAATTTGCACTTCAATGCCATTGTAATCGATGCCGGCATTCAACATTTGATTATTATCATTTGTGGTGGCGTGGGTGGTAGTGTTGATGATGCTGCTGAGGCTAACGCTTAACGGACTGGGCACACTTATCATTGCGGCGGCCTGAGCTGATGGGCTGATCAAGTGCTTGTTGTAATTGTGATTGTGGTAGTTATTGTTATTGTTGCTATTAGCAGCCGAAATGATGCTACTATCAGCACTGTTAGTGGTTAAGATTGCTGTCAAGGCATTTGTAACCCAATTTGTTGTTGCTGTTTGCAAACTAATGCGACTGCTGTCATGGAAATTACCAAATCTGCTGCTGCTGCTGCTGCTGCTACTCCTACTGTCACTACCATTGTTGTTTCTGTGGTCACTATAGAGATATTGAATTCCCCCTGGCGTAATTGATCTATTTCTAACAATTTCAACACTATCATAGCGATGGTTAGCCGCACTTGCCCGTACACCCCGTTGCACAATATTCGAATTGTTGATGTTGTCGTTGAGAGTCGTGGCGCTTGTGTTGTAGTTGTTAGTGCTATTTGAGTGCAACCAATTCGCGTAAGTCGTATTGTACATGGTTTCGATATACTGCACAATTTGTTGAATGGCAAGTGGGCCAATTAATGCAAATAAATCACCGCAAAGCTTCAGTAGTCCGCCCAACATAAACATTCTCCAGCTGCTACGCAAATAGCAAAGCCACAATGAGGGTGGACGATCGCCATTTTTCTGGGGAAGTAAAGAAGTTTATAAAAATGCATTACTTGAATCGATACTTAATCGGAAGTGAGTAAAATAACTGAATATCGAAGGACTGGCGCGGAAAGGAACGGGAAGTGAAATGAAGGGAAAGCAAAAAATAATAAACAAATAAAATAAAATAAAATAAAATAAAATAAAATAAAATAAAATA